GTTAGGGCTGTGCATCTATTTAAATTTGCAATGAATTATTATAAATTTATTACTTAGCTAAAAAAATTTTCAGTAATTAAATTTTATTATATAACCACATATATTTTTGATTTACTTAGTTGACATGCATCCCCAACGTACGGTGCAGGAAACCTAAAAACTTCAATCACTTTATATAGAATAAAGGTTAACTAACTCATTGAAGATAAACTAGATTTGTCATTCTCAATAGCATGTTATTTGCATATATATTGTTTTTTTGCTTATTTTCTTTATGCAAAGAGATTTCTTTCCTTCGCTTATTGAGATTAACAATTTAGGAAATTTATTTCCGAGGTGCTACTAGTTAGTTCATCATCTCTTAGAATATTGAGGGTTTAAATTTCCTGCACCGTTACGTACTTGATTGTAATGTCTTCTCCGATACCTAATAATGATGTTATTCACAGTAGCCTATATCTATACTATATCATTATGGATTCAGATGTACTGCTGTAATTTGGTTATGACAATAAAGAATAAATATAAAGCACAATCGAACCATAATTAGTAACGGTAACGTAAATATGCTTGCACCTATGAATATCATACTGAAAGTATTAGAATTATCTCAACATTACCAATTTTTCGTTAACTTAGGCCAAATTATATATTTAGCACCAGTATTAGTTGATCCAACTTCCTGTTTCCAGTGATTATTGTTTTTTTTGATTTGGTGTTATAACATAATAAAGAGTAAATTAAATGATACATACAATAAATGTAAATTAAAATATTTTGATTAAACTTCTATAATAGTAACAATTTATATTAAGCCGAAGATTAAACTAGTTAACGTTCAAATAAATAAATTTTTGCCAAATATAATTAAATTATAAGGTATGATAAAAAAAAAAAAAAAATTAAATTCACACAGCACTTGAATTTCAAATATTTCTATCTTCTATCTTTTACCAAATTTATCATAATATAGGTGTTAAATGGGATAGCTTACTTCAAATCGCTTCAGAGTATGACTAAAAACTTGATGACAAAACCTTGAGCAACCCAGTGCACGATTTAGAGCAACCTGGAGTAGAGCGTCGAGTAAGTCTAATTTTAATGGAGTGGGTTGAAGATTGAGTCAACCCTAACTATTAAAGTAATAATTTCCCAATTTTCAAATGCTATTTTTTTAGTGCTTGATTATAAAAATAAATCTAATTTTTCCAAATGTATACATATAGATAACTGTATAGGAAAAGTTTATTTTTAATTATCTTAAATAGACAATGAATTTTATTTAAGTTAAAGTTCGGCATAGCTTAAAGATAAAATAGCCAAAAGAAAAAGAAAGAAAGAAAGAAAGAATGATATAAACATATATAGTTATATTAAACTATTTATTGAAAAAAAAACTTTAAATAGTACATCAGTACACTTGTACATTCTATTTTTACTGTTGTCTAGTTTGGATTAGCTAGGATTTAAAGTTAATAGAATAGTATACCATAATTTTGCCAGAAATATATATTTTGTTTGTAGAATGCAAAAGGCCGCTTTATCGAAGTTTACGTTTTTTCTTTCTTTTTTTTAAAAAAAAAATAAATTTTCAAATTTTTTATTATTCTCTCGTTACACTCGACTCAATTACTGTAACAAATTACAATAACAAATTCCCTCCCGCTCCTATAACAGTAAATAATTACAGTTGGTTCGGAGACTATGTACAAAAGTTTCTTCTAAATTTGACACATCAAACCTTAACTTTAACCTAAAACTTCAGGAAAACCAAATAAGGGTTTGACAGGAGATTTGTGTTCTAGTTACAGATATAATATTCGGTGTTGTTTTTTTACACAATGTATCGCGACGAGAACTATTTTTGAATAGAATATATGCTCGAATAAAAACTATTATTCAAAGAAAATTTATCTGAATAAAAAATTTCACATTTAAGTCTATCCAAAAAAAATCCTTTGGCTATAATACAACCTTGACCAAGAAAGTTAGAAATTATCAAAAATACGTATTAATATTACGAACTAAGCTAAAAAAGTTTAGCATAGAGAAATCCTGAAGCTAAAATGTTTCATTCGCTAATATTTTAAGAACAAAACTGAAGAATTTTTAATGATACTGTACATGAAGTTTGGGGGAAAAATAATCTCATTGATAAATTACTATTTTAGTAATTTGAATAATAAACGCATTGTGTATCGGTAAATACCATAACAAAGCAATTTGGATTTGTATGAACAAAATCATAACTTTTTTAGTTCATTTAGATTAACCATGTATATCTAATGATAAACCGCTTTTTTTATTATTGTTACACTTATATAAACAATATAAAAATTTTTGAAAACCCGGTTTATATCATGTACTACAATTTAAGCCGAGAGTTAATCTAAAATTGATTATATTTGTGTTACATCATACGTAATTATAAATATCTGAGACGAACTATCGCTATCCGCGTCTCTAAATTCTCAAGAAACATACAAATGAGTTATTTTTATGCTGTCGGCCGAAAACACGTAGGAAACGACGTAGATTGATTGATAATCATGGGGACAACCGCTGAATTACCTTCAATTAATAAAAATTTAATAAATAAAGAAAATATGGAAGAATTCGTATTCAATGAAGCTTACAAAATTTTGCATTCCGGAAATTTCAAAATTATTATCTTTAACAAAGATAAAATTTATGGATTACCAAATCTCTCTGGATTACCTGATGAAGTCATGGGTAATATTTTCAAATATATTCGCTCACCATCGAACTTATTAAGGGTTAATAAAACTTGGACTAAATTATCCAAAAGATGTGAAGTTAAAGCTAGTTGGTTGATTTTTCAGTTTGGCAGAGCGCATGCACTTTTTCATGCAGTTCGTTTAGGACCAAAATTTGTAAGTGTTCTAGTTGTTGAAAAGGTGATTGAAATGGGGGGAATAATATCAAGATATTTTGTCCAGAGGTTCTTGCTTTCGTTCGGAACCTATGACCCAAAATTAATAGAATTAAAGATAGAGCATAACGTAGGAGGAAACATTGATATCGATCAAATTCGTAAAGTACAGCAAAAAAGTGCTGTACCTTGGGGTAGTGATACGCCACTTGATGTGTTCACTTATATAATGCTTGAGGCGTCAAAAAGATTAAACCCTGATGAATTTGTTCCTTACAGCGATCTTGCAGTTAAAGGAAATGATATGGAGTCATTTCATTTTCAAAGTGGTGGACCATTTGCAATTAACCAGGCAAAACAAAAGCTCAAAGATAATTTGGTTTCGATTAAGGAGTTGATCATTAAATGGAAATTTATTCCATTTCCTCCGAGGCCTAAGAATAAACAACATGATGGTAAAAATATGGAAGAATATCCAAGCAAAGACGGTTATGAAAACTATAGGCAGTTAAATATAATTGCTCGGGCAATTTTGATTGATAAAGAGTTAGTTAACTCATGGAAAAAAATTGGGTACTATAGTATCGTAGATGATGTCAACGATCTAGTGATTCAAGGTGCGTTATTGTTATTATTTCCTCCAACGCCACCTGATGATTATGTAATGCCGACTGCTGAAAAAATAATTGAAAATCTGCAAGAATTGCTCGACTTGGGATTCAAACCAACAAATGCGGTCATACTTGACATCTTACAGCTCTTTGAGAATAGATTGGACAAAATTGGAAAAAGGATCTTTGGTTCCTTTATTTCAATTCGTAAGGATGAAAAACGCGATAAATTCTATAAAAATATTATAGTAGAAGCTATTAAGCCGGAGAGAAATATTAACAGACTTGAGGTTTTAAACTTCTTGGGTGAAACTATTGGAAATGATTGTAGCGAATTTTTCATGGATGTGATGAAAACATTTGAAGAAAAGAATTCAAATTATGCTATTGAGGGAAAAATATCAAATAATGATACCCAACCCATGCCTAGCATTAGCAATCATGTGAAATCTGTCTACAAACCTCTATCATTTAATTTTGTTTTTTACAATTGGATTTTATTTATGTTTACAGAAAATTCTGATATTGCAAGTTTGGCATTTAAAGATATCTTAGCAACTAGAATAAGTTTTGATCTTAATCCGGATTGTTGTAAAACTTTTGAAGCTAAGTTTATTCAATCATGTAATATTTTTAAGGTTTATTGCAATATCAGAAATTTCTTTTTAGTCTCAGATCTTGAACTTCTTAAAAACGTTTCTCATGAAGATATTCTTTGTCCTCTATTTGAATTTTACATACCGAATATGTTTGGAATTTCACCTACATTTAAAATGCCGCTGAAAATTACAGATGATTTTAATGTATATTTTAAACCGAAAAGAAAACGGAAAAAAAGAATTATGTTAAAAGAACAAAAATTAGAATGGTTTATTGCTATTGAAAATATTCATAATGATATTGTAGAGAGGGGTAATTCGGTAGTTATGTCATCTAAATTTAGAAATTGCATCGAAGACATTTACTATAGGCTTGAGGGTGTAGCTGAAGAATTGAAAATAGAATTAGAAAAGAGAAATTTACCAAAAACCAATGTTAAAAAGTATAAAATTGATAAAGACAAGAGAAGTAAAAAAATTCTTGACGTCCGATAAGTGAATTTGTATGACTTTCTTTTTTCATATTGTATTTATAGTAATTCATACATCAACTACGTATTAAATTATGCTATATATTATTATTATCTTCATGAGAAAGTTTACAATACTTATGATAACCTTATTAAATTTTTAGATAGATGCATATGTATAGTCATTGATTGTATACGAACATATTATGTATTGATTTTTTTATTTAACAATAAAGTTCATTCTTCAATTATAAACTTTAATCGATTTCTTTGGACTAGGTATGTTTCTGTTAAATGATAATTGACACAGCACGTGTAACATCTTCCCTGCATCATCAAAATGTTTTATAGTTAATTATGTCATGTTTGGATTAGCGCCTGTATTAAGGTTAGTTGTTAGTACGTACATATTCAAAAATTTTTTCCATATACAGTATTAATTATTTACTATTGATCACTGCCGTTGGTTATACTAGAAAGTTTATATGTAGTAGTAAGAGCGCACAGTTTTGTGGATAAAATGCAATTTTTTTACAAAAAATGAATAGTGCATATTAGGTGTTACCAATTTTTTAAAGAAACGTAGTCGGTCTCGGTCTCTAATAAGACCAGTCCCAATATAGCTATCGGTCCGGTCCAGCTGGTCCCTGGTCTCGAGATTGAACTATTTTCACGTCAACAACAAATTTTACGAAAGTTGTTTATCATTTTGCTACCATTATCGAATAAAATTCATGCAATAGTGGTTAAAAGTTTATTTTAATAGTATATTATTAACCAGTATGAAAACCGAAGAATCTTTAGCCGGTTTAAAGACCGGTCCTTATCCGGTCTTCTCAGGACCGATCCAACCCTAGAAACGGTGTTATACAAATGACTACACCTTATATTAATTATTACAACGAGAATACAAATACAGTAGTTACATGTGCAATTTTAGTAATTGCCTATTTTAAGTGCTCCGCCCAACTTTAAATTTAAATTTAATATTAATATGCAAAGTTTTTCACATGGCAAATAAAGCTTTAAAGTTTTGTAAATTAATCTTATAATGTTTTCTTGCTTATGTCATATATCTAGTGTGCTATTAATAGAAAATGGGTTATATATAAAATCTAATAGTTAAAATTGTAGTTAAACATAAGTATAAATAACTAATTATGATAATTATAATATGATTATTTAATATTATTTAAAATCAAATATTGACTATTGTATATTATTTAAAATCTAATAATTGGCTAGTGTATATTGCTTTAGGATGGATAGTCCGATGCATATAAATTATATGATCAGAATTTAATTGTCTTTTTTTCTCAGCAATGTCAAATTGTGTAGAAATTGCTGAAGTACTATTATGATTAATTGTAGTTATCCAATTTCTTAAAATGTTATTTAATTCTGTAGCTCCTGGACGGTTATTTGGATTCTGATCCCAACATCTTTTCATTAGTTTCATATAAATTTCTGGAGTACCATCGACTATTTCTGGTCGTAGTCCGTTACATATTTTAGTTAAGAGGTCAAGATCATGAGCAATTTTGCTAAAGGGGCGTATACGCGCGGACAAAGTCCACATGATAATTCCAAAACTGTATACATCTGAAGCTTCAGTGTATTCATTGCCTTTTAATACTTCTGGAGCAACATAAGGCAAGACACCATAAATTTCGGATGCAATTCTATTAGCAGGACCATGTAATCCAATATCGGCAATTCTTGTGATAATGAATTCTGGATTATCTTCAAATAACAAGTTGCCACAATGTAGATTGCCATGATATAATTTATGTTCATGGATTCGTTCAAGACCATCTATAATACTCAAAAGGATTTCTATTGTATCTCTCCAGCGAAGATGTGCCATTTCTTTATCGAGATATTGGTACAAATTTCCTTCATAAAACTTCATAACGAACATATAACAGCCAGTTGGATCACGCGATATTCCGAGGTAATCTGCTAAAGGCCCTCCTCTAAGACATTTATTATGCTTCAGAACCTAAGTGAAAATATAAAAAATTAAATTTAGTACATAATTTTATCTACTATGTTTTTAATGTACAAAACCCACATTATCTAAATAGTATTGACTTATTATTTGAGAGTTCTCGATTCGTTTCAATATACACTTAGTAGGACCAACTCTAAGCCAATCATCGCTTTCTTCATCCCAAGTCCGCCTAGGTCCATCAATCCAATATCCAGAGTAAATGGTACTAAAAGTTCCTTGTGTTAAATATTTAACATTATCAAAATTCTCAAATGGAATCCATTCAAGATAATTCTCACTTTTATTTACTTCAAGCTGAGTTTGTTGAATTATTTTATCTATATTTACATTACCACTGGTCCATTTTCCAAAATCTCGCTTGAAAGCTTTGTTTTGGCATATTGGACACCAATGAAAATCACTTAAGGAATTTTCACATTCATCACATTTTCCATACTGATCTAGTTGATCTATGCTTTTGGCATATGTGATCGATGGTTCTGAGAAGGAAGTCATGCCTATTTAGAAATAGTTATTTTTATTTATTTTTGTAAAGATTGTAGATAGGCTTGGATCTTTATACTATATGGGAAGGAAAGAGTGCAGTGTTAACATATCGAGCTAATCAATCCGTGAGAAGGTTTTTCTCACCATTTTATATAGTTTTTTTTACGCCAAATGAATCATGAGAGAATTATTATTTTATAATTTTTTATTTTATCACAATCAGAAGGTCATAATTGAACAATTTGTGAAACAGCTCATCATTTAAAAAGTACTAAACCTCTTCAAAATTTGTCATTGCAGTCATGTGCCAATTGAATTAACTGAGTCGGATTATACATAAAATGAAAAATAAAATATTCTTTGCTTAAAAAATTAACGCTGACCAATATTTAATATAATGTTGGTCAGCATTCTAAATATTATTGATAAATTGACACGTATATGTCTGTGTTTTGACAGATAACTTATAATACGTGTTAGCGATGAATTAGGAAAAATGAAAATTGTGTAATTATAAATAATTACACACTTTACCATATTATTGAAACATATTTGATGTCACGTCTTCTTCATATTAAGTTCATTTAAATAAACAATTCTGAACTTTAGTAATATTTAGTGATAGGACTACAAAGAATAAAAATAGGTGATAATTAACTGTCGAATAAATAATTATAAAGAGACAAAATTTATTAATAGATCACGGCGCATGACAGGTCCTCCATAGTCCCCATCACATCATATTTTTGCATCTTGACATTTTCTTAAACTACACATCTTGTTATTCGATCAACATTAGATGTAGGCTTATCTCTGTAGATTATACATAATTAGTAGTATAGTACGTAAGTACGTGCATTTTTTTTAGTGCTATAAAAATTCTAAATTAAGATTATCTACATAAAACCAGACTGGAAATGATTACGTTCGTTATGCTCATTCATCAATTACCAAAACAGCCATTTTAATAATTATTAATTTTTAACTTTAGACAGTTTACGGGGTACAAATAAAAAAATAACCATTCCTGATTAAGTAATCTATCAAAGAGGAACTGTAAAGTTTGTGTACAATTCGTGTAACACTGACTTGTTTTTTGTTTTTTTTAAAAAAAAATAACCAGTATTTCGGAGTTCTGACCACATACACTGCATGTACTGTTTGTACAATACGTACGTACGTACGTCTTTTATCTAATACCCTTTGTAGTTGGTAGTATATATGTACGTGTTTATGCTTAAAACAAATTAGCGTTGCTTGATCAGTGACTTTATTAGTACAAAATACTAAAAACATATACAATATGAACTAATTTTTAGCTCCTATCTATTTATAATTTTTAGGAATATTTATAACTTCTAAGAAAGAGTATCATCAAGAAATTTACATAATACATCGGAATACTTAGTTCCAGCAACAATTGCCAATGGTTAGTTTAAGTATTTATAATATTGCAATGAGTTGGGCTGAAGAAGATTGTGCCAATCGTGATTAAATTTTCTGCCTGCAAAAGAAAAAAGATAATACATGTGAATCTTTTTTATATTGTGATTTAAGCTAAGAAGCATAAATCAATTGATAACCTTCTGAATTTAGTACAAACTAGAATTTAATATGTACTTTGCATTCCCTATTTCAGTTGATTTATAATTTTTTTGATGCTAATTTGAAAGTGACTTGATGTCATTGTCCGGAACGCTCTGTTTTTTTGCTCTGCATTTTGCTTTGCATTATTCCTAGCTGCTGCAACAAAATTGTCACGGCAGATTATTGGTTTGATTGGCTAAAAAAATTAGGCCGGAATTACCAGAATTTTACTAATGGAATCGCAGCCATCTATTAAGTGAAAATTGTTCCCGACCCAATTCTATCATAGTGCGGGCTTATTTTTCAATAATTTATATTTTTGTAATGAAAAAATCAAAAAATTAATTCCAGTCGGAAATTAGTAACCATTTTTGTAATGCGAGCCAAAAACTTTGCAAATCACGGTCGTTAGCAGCGTTTCGGGCGAAACCCAATTTTGCAGATTAAATTGGGCAAAACTAGTTTCGGAGGATTTCGGACTTATAAGGCGAAACTAAAATTCCTCTTGGCGAAACGTTTCGGACTTTAGCGAGGTTTAGGCCGAAACACCGGTCGTTAGCCAATCAAAATTGTGAATCTGCTGTGAGCGGCGGATCACATTATCTATTATGTAAGTCTGTACATATTTGTACATATGTTCACCCCAGAAATTCTGATTGGTTAATTATATGATGATCACCAATTACATTATGTAGCACACAGTTACTATATTTATAAAATAATAGACTCTTGGCACTTTCAGCGTTACAAAAATGTTTCAAAATAATCCTGTGATTAAACTTACAATCTTTAAAATTCATATTTTCATATGGATTTGTATTTAAAATCCGTTGAAAGTGGTAATCCTGATGGTCAAGATAATCTTGGATTATATTATTATTTTGACGGAGGCACTATGAAGAATGAAAAAGAGACATTTGAGTGGTATTTAAAATCTG